AAACAAACAAAAAGGATTAAAATTCTTCATCAGATTGATTTGGATAGATAAAACATTTCTTATAAAAATAAAACACTTCATTCAAAAAGATTCAGTTATTAACTATTACGTTTACTAAGACCAAACAAGCGTGAATTTTTTCCAGCACATTGAAAAAAAAAAACAATAAATAGTTCACCTTTCTGCTAAAATAAAATCGTCGAAAACAAGACAATTTCATTGGTTTCTTATGAGTTTTCATGCACTAAATGTATTTCAAAACTTTCAAAAGAATTCATGAGACTTCATTAGATTTCATGAGACTTCAAGAGACTTCAAGTGACTTCAAGAGACTTCATGAGACTTCATGAGATTTCAAGAGACTTCAAAGACTTCAGAGATTTTATGAGACTTTATGATAATTCATAAGACTTCACGAGACTTCAGAAGACTTCAAAAGACTTACAAGACTTCATGAGACTTCACGGCTGAAGTCTCTGCTGGTCCCCCCTTGCAGTGACATTTAATCTATTTGATAATAAAAAACAAAAAACTATGCGTAATTTATCTAAAGAATCTGCATCATGTCTGGGATTTCAACTTCTAATGGATGTTTTAAAACAAATGCCACGGACTGATCAATCTTTTCATGAGATGCTAGAAAAATGTTCATATTAGTATCAATCAAACATAAGTGAATTTGAAATAATTGAAGAGTTTCAAAGTGACATATACAATCGATAGTGCTATTGAATGGTATACAGCTAATGCATTTGTCTATCAATTAGTTAACAAAGCATTGCGAACAGAAGATATTGAACTTCTCTATTTATTTCGATCATATATTATTGATCTTCGCTCACAATTAGAACAAGAACATAAACAAATTTCTTCTACAGAAGTGTTTGTTGTAGTTCGTGGGCAAACAACGTCTAGAGAAGAATTTGAAAAATTAAAACAAAGTTGCGGAGTTCTTATATCAACAAATGGATTCTTTTCAACTTCAAGAGATCCCAAAGTCGCATTAAGTTTTATTGCTGGTAGTTATAATACAGACAAAAAAAGATTAATTCTATTTGAAATAACAGTTGATTCTCAACTTAAATCAGTTATATTTGCTGATATTGAAACATATAGTCGGATGAAAGACGAAACGAATGTTTTGTTCAGTGTAGGTGCTGTTTTTATTATTACACAAATACACTATGATTCACTGATGAATATGAATTTATGGAAAATTCAAATGAAAGCTACTGATGATGATTGGAAACAAGTTGATGAATATTTAATAACAATCGGAAAACAAATTAAAGAAGAATATAGTTCCACCATCTTATTTGGTTGTCTTCTTTGGCCAGATATCGGAGAATTTGATAGATTAGAAAAAAATTTGAAAACATTACTAAAAATCTTTGCCAAATGATCATGTAGATGTACCATCATTTTATCATCAACTGGAGGATGTATATTATGCAAAAAATGATTTCGATACGGCATTAGATTATTATATACTAGGATATAATTTACGTTGTCAATATTTATCTTCTGATCATTATCAGATTGCTGTACCATTAGATAATCTTGGTATAGTTTATGAAGATAAACAAAATTATGATCAAGCTTTAGAATATTGTAAACAAGCGTTAGCTATTTACGAAAAAACTATCTAGGTGATCATTTGAATAAAGCAAAGGCAATAATGAATAATGGTGTTATTCTTCAACGAAAGATTACGATAAAGCATTAGAATATTTAACAAAATGTCTCGAAATGCATACACGTATCTTACCTGAATGCCATCATTCTATATCTCGATGTTTATGTAATATTGGTGCTGTATATGAAAATCAATTGAAGTTTGATCAAGCACTTGAATATAATCATAAAACGCATGAAATGAATAAAAAAATATTACCGACTGATCATATTCATCTAACGAAAGATCTTGCTAGAATTGTGTGAATATGAAAAAGCTATAGATTTTTGTCAAAAGAAGTTAGATGAACAACAAAATAATCCATCAGAAAATCATCCACGAATTGAACATACACTGAAAACTATCGGTAATATTTACGATGAAAATAATAGTCACCATGCATTTGAATATTATCAAAAAGCATTAAACATATTTGAATTAGATGATGTACTCATTTATCGAAAACAATTGTTTGCTATACAAGAAAACTTCTTTCATCGCAACATTCTGCCATTGCGAACTCATGACAATGGTTTGGTAAACTTTATTATGATACGAAGAACTATATACAAGCATTAGAGTATTTCAAAAAAGCACTTCTTATTTATCTAGAAAATTATACTACCGAACAGGAAACAATTAAAGAAATAGAACAGTATATTGATGATATTAAGACTAAATAAAATAAAATAATCGAAGCTTTACATTACTTTTCCCACTAAAAAATAATTTATTTAAATTTAATCAATTGAAAAATAATGTCAGAAAGTTTGATCTTATCGTGTTTGTTTTGAGTTATTAGCTTTTCGTTTTGGAAAATCCTTGAGAAAATGGTTCTGCTTTGAATGACTGTAATTGCTTTGTTTTTTTTTTATTCCATTTTTTGATAAATATTATACCATGCTATCTGCGCACAAACAGAGTGTAGGTGTAGGTGCTGGTGTGGTTTAAGAGCAGACTCACTTCCATACCCACACCCATACACAAACGACATCATTCTATCAAATGCAACACTTAATTTTTTACTACTATTAAATTTATTTTTATCAATTTCTTTCCTTGAACGGTACAATGGCTGTGCTCTTCACTCATATGTAAATGGTGATGACTCACCAGTAGACAATGACTAACATAAAATCGTATTGTTTGTTTTTTGTGTAAATTGATTATTAGTAATAAAGTAAAAGAAGAGAATTTACTTATGTAAAATAGTATATTGATTATTTTTGATCCTTCAGCATAATTCATAATTTTCTTAATCATGTAAATGAGTTTTTTTCCGTTCTGTTTAAAAATTCATCCGATTTTATATTTCTTGCTTTAAATAGAGTAAGAATAAAATTATTCAAATAAAATAATAATAATAATAATTATATTAGACAGGAAAATCAAAACTCATTGAGTACATTGAATTCATCTGATTCACGTTGTTTTCGACTTCGTACATTTAGCTAAGGATTTTTGTTCTTCTTTTTTGTATTGTATTCTAATATATATTCATAAGTTATCGCATCAACTTTCTGTTTCTTGATATGATCGTCCAAATACGGATAGAATTATGTTAATGATTGTGCACTATCAAAACTTAGTTATTAGCTGTTGAATATTTATGTGAATAAACAAGTATCGGAGGGTAATTCAGTGCAATCATTAATTTTATCTCATACATAGCTATTCGAGTGCTTTCTTAATAAGCAATATATCTATCTGTATTAGCCAATATACACGTCATATATTAATCGTTCTTTACTCTTCTAAATTAAGCTTCTAAAGCATGTGGTAAAATAGAATATTATATTGTTTTTCACATGGGAATAAAATGCATCATGATAAATACGTAGGTAAATGACGATATGTGCTTATTCAAGTGTAAACAGTTATGATGGTGATATATATATATGTATATGAGAACAAAAAATAAAATAAATAGATAAAACATTGAAACTATCTTATTATAAGTAATTTCGTCGACTAAAGTTTACATAATGAGTGATAAGTACGATGAAAAGAGATATAGCAAAAAAAACTTGATTATAATATTCTTCTTTTCTTATATAGTGTTCATTCATCGAATAATGAAAAAAGTTTTGATAAAAAAACTTTCTTTCAAAAACTTCATCATAAAATAAAAAATAAAAAACCTACTGAAACTGTAAGCCTTTCAAGTTTGGTAAGTGATCGCTAGTTTTTGTTGAATAAAAAAAATAGTTGCATATATTTTAGTTTCGATATGCCACAAAACTTGATATTATTTACATGTTAGTTGGTAGTATAGGAGGTCTAGGCAACGGTGCAACTTTTGTAGTAATGATTTTTTTATTTGGAAATCTTTTAAATTCATTTACTGATCGATCTACTGATACATGTACACTGAATTTTACAGCTCTTGCTATTGAATATTGTCCACCTGGTTATCAATTAGTAGCATCGAATTATTTTTCATCATTATTGTAAGTATATGTTTAG